CCGGGGGGGGGGGGGTCCCAAAGGAGAGACCTGATTTCTCCCACCACCCACTGGCACTGCCAGGGCGGGGGACACAGAGCCGATGAGTCTGGACAGGGACAAATGAGCCCTTGTAGGGAAGGGGACATGCAAGTGGGAGGCCGTGAATGGTGTGGCGGGTCCTGGGGAGGGAGTCACAGATACAGGAAGAAGGGGACAGGGCTGGAGGCCGCCATCCTCAGCAAACTCCCAGCAGCCCCAGGGCCCAGCGAGGAGGGCTGGGACCTGCTCAGACTTACAGCATGGAGCTGCACTCTGGTCCAGGTAGGCTTGCTATGACGCCAGGAAGATCTCCCCGTGGCAGGGTACCTTCCTGCCGCCCTCCTGAGGATGGCAGTCCACTTTCTGTGCCCCCAGCCAGGAGAGCCAGGCCATCGCTCTCCTTAGGTTCAGCCGAGCCTCGTGACAGAGGTGGTGTGACGGAGAGGGCTTTGCAGAGCGCCATGAGTTTCCAAGGGGTGTTCCCAGTCTGCGCGGGGTGAAATGATCCAAGCCCAAAACACATGGGCCTCTGGACCTGGCTCACTTGAGCACCCGGCATGAGCAGACAGGGGTTAGCAGGTCTCTGCACAGCTCGGGGCCGCTGTGGGGACCAGGGCCCCCAAGGGCAGGACACGTGTGTGTTTAGACCACAGGTGGCAAGTGCTGGTCGCAGCTGGCTCAGGCGTTGGAGGGATGTGAAGGGCAGGAAAGTGGCAGAGGGAGGGCTCCCATGCCGTCTGCAAAGAGCATCTGATGGACAAGGAGGCCGAGCCCGGCCGTCGGAAAGCTGCTGGCGGGAGCTGGCGCTGTGTCCTGTGGCTTCACTGCAAGGCCTAGAAGTGAATTCTCTCCCACGGCTGACCATCAGCAGACTGCGGTGGACGAAGGAGGACTGTGCAACACTGCCCCGAAACGAGCGCTCTCAAATAAACAGGCGTCCCCACGCCAGCCTGGGGAGGAAAGCGCTCCCGCCTCACCGAGCCTCCTGCAAAGCCAGGGGCCTGATCCCCGCAGTACTGGCGCTCCACGGGAGGCATCGAGGAGCTGTGGGCACCCGGGTGCAGCGGTGCGCTGACCCTTCCCTCGCTAATACGCCAAATTTGCAGGGTTAGAACATCACAGCCGATGAGCACAGCTGGCTGCAAATAAAATCACTGAATAGAAATGCCACCTCCTGAGCAGAAAGAGGAAGACGCGGCTAAGTGCGTGGGGACACGCTTCCGGAGACCGTGTTCCCAGTGCTCGCGGTATTCCCATCCCACCGCCGCGGGCACGCTGTCCCCGTGTGGGATTTTCTCAGGGTACACGTGACTCTCCTGGACTGTCATGAGACAGTTCCAGAAATTCCAGGTGGGGTGATTCTTGATTCTTGTCTCCTCCTGGACTCCTCCTCACCTCGCCCTGCCGCGGGGCTGGCCCTGGGCCATGGGTCAGGACATTCCGGGCAGTGTTGCAGTGTGCCACCATCAGCCCAGGCCTAGTTCTTCCTGCAGTGCAACCTCAGCTGTTCCTGGCTGGCCGGCCCCAGGGCAGGAACTGGGAGGTCATCCTGAGGGCACCAGCAGGGATGGGGAAACAGGAAAAGATGCAATGGCCCCAGGCACACGGGGCAGACCCTTCGTGGACACTGGGAGTGTCGCAGAGCCACAGCTCCCAGCGGGCATGGCACCAGGCTCCAGGAGGCCGAGGCGTTGCCATCAGGAGGGCGCTGTCCACTGCACTGTCCTGCACCCACGCAGGGCTGGGCCAGGCCGGTCACGCCCAGGTGGTAGCCACTGGGCATGGGTAGCCGTTGCGCACTTGAAACGTGGCCAGGTCTGCTGAGGAGCTGGATTTCCAACATGGCCTCCTGATAATCTGTGTGGATGGATACACCCACGTGTGGCTGGAGTCCTCTGCACAGGACACGAGGGGCTGTTCCCTGGGTCTGAAGGAGGCCAGGGTCGCCAGCCCCCAGGAGATGAGCAGCCTGAGAGACAGTGTCACCTCTCCGGCTCAACTCCTTCCTTTGAGGTGTGAGGGGTGGTGAGGGCTCCCTGGGGTCCACGTTCAGGGTCTTTGATTTGAGTACTCCATGCTCCCCACAGCTCGAGTGTCTCACCCCTAAACTCCCAGCCGCACCCCCTGTGTCTCCACCACAGGAGCAGACACTTGGTTCTGAATGCAGTCACGTGGCTCACCCTCACCCAGCCCGCACCCCACCCCAAAGCCTTAGTTCACACCAGTGCCCTTCACTCCTGGCCCCCTCAATCCTGCAGAGGACCCACCTCAAGCCTCACCTCCTGGAAGCGTCTCAGAGTTCCGCAACCTGCATATCGCAGCCCTCTCAGGATGGGCCTCAGCCCCACTGGCACGAGCTGGTTAATGGTCTCGCGTCTCTTGCTATCAGCCCCGCAGTGCGACAGTGCCTGAGCAGCGTGGAGCCAGCATGGCTCCAGATAGTGGTGGTGATCAGACAGGCAACTGTGGGGTCTCTCGCTCACCGCCAGCCAGCAGGGGGCGTCCGCCACGGCTGAACCTTCCGGGGCCTTGGTTCCCTCATCTGGAGTACCAGGCCACGCTCCTTGCCCTCGGGTTGCTATATAGCCCCAGCCATGGGCACCAAGGGCCCTGCCAGACCTGCTGCTCGTTCCGACGGTCAGCAGCGGCTCAGGCCGTGCTCGCTGTCCCCCAGCCACAGCGCGAGGGCTGCTCTGTGAGCATGGTGACGCCAGGACCGGCCACCCCCACCCCCGGCTACACACAGCACATGGCACTGAGACTGGCCAGCCCAAGGTCCGCGTGGCTCTGGGTAAAGGGTGGCCGGCCGCACATCAGTTTACTCCACGTATTTTCAGATGCTGCCTTCCCCCGCAGTTAGAAGAACCAAGGTGACACAGAAAACACAGATGCAAAGCCCCAAGACGGCCCAGAACGGCCTGGGTCCTGACGTCCCCACCGACACGCCCTTTAGACCTCCCCAGTGGAGGCCGTGGGCTAACGGCGGTGTCCCCCGATCAAGGCCGTCTGTGGAAGCCCTGGCCAGAGGTCAGCATCTGGATACGGAGTTCTGCCAAGTAATTAGGGTTAGGCAAGGCCTAGCAGGGCCCGGGTGGGATTAGCACCTCACCGCCCATGGCAAGGCCGGCAGCTCTCCCTCCCTGTGAGGACCTGTCTGCAAGCCAGGAAGGAGCCGAGGTAAGGGCCTGGCCAGCAGCGGCCTCAGCTTCTAGCCTCCAGACTGTGGTCTCTGGCGTTTTGTTACAGACCCTGGTACTGCAGGGCAAAAGCCTGCCCGTGGTCTGGCCAAACCAAACTCTCCCTGGGGACTCCAGACCAAAGGCAGTAGGAGGAAGGGGTGCAGGGCTGGGAGTCCCAGAAACCTGAGCTACTCACACACCCGGTGCGGTGAGGCGTCCTGAGCAGGCTGCTGGTGGGGGCCGGGTGCAGCGCCCGAGCTGGTGACGCCTGGCGTCTCGCCTCGCTGGCCGGCTCACCAGCTTGGTGGGAAGTGACAGCCGAGGACGCGAGGAGCCGAGCAGTGGGAACGAGTACCGGGAACCCAAACGCAGTGCACCGGGTCGGGGCACTGCTCAGAACAGCCTAGAAGGCCAGGTCCGCGTGAAAGGTCGCGCCAGCACCTGACGCCGAGGTTCGCTCCAGCTTCTGTCACAGGCGAGCGATCTCACTTTTGTGGTCGTCCTAATGGCCCCGGAGCCGCGCTTCAGTCTGCCCCCCCATTTCCGGTGCTGCCTTTGCCTGGTTAGACACGGGGAACTGAGGGCACAGAGCAGACGCGAAGCCCTGGAGCCGTGAGAAGTGACTGCTCGGGGCTGCCCCAATGACCAGAGTCCTCACTTGCGCAAGATTGGGATTGTGTGTATGAAAAGACACCCAGAGAGTCAGAAAACACTCGCCTCAAATTACCACCGTTGGCCCCTGGCACGGATGGCTGCTACAGTCGGGTTAAACCACACCAAGGGACCCTCCGTGCTTCTGGACCCAGAAAAATCTAAGAAAACAGCCGAAATAACCTGAATTGTTTGCCCAGGTCACTACGCCACAAAATGTCTCCAAGTAGGAGGATGGGGCCCGAGGATTAACCCAAGCTCAGTCTGAAATATCTACGGTCCGGTCCGCATTTTCATTGGCATTGTCGGTGGAAACAAGCTCGTCGAACTAATCAGTAATGTGGTTCATTCTGAACAGCGGAGCGGCCCAACCTGGAGAAAGACGGGGTGCTCCTCGGGGTGCTGACACACTGCCCTCTTATTTAGTGTGGAGGGTAGGACAGCTGCCAGTCAGCATGAGGCGTCTTTCACCCCAGCCTGGCCCAAAGAGCTGGGCCATCTGGAAGCCAAGGCTTGTGGGTTAGAGGTGAGTTTGAAATCCTGAGATTAGTCATTGGTTAAAGAAAACACAGCTCCTGAAAGAAGTCAGCAGAAGCGTGAGATTTGCTCCAGAGATAAGAAGGCTTTCTGTGCATCCTCAGACACTGGGGGGGGCACTACGGGGACCAGCGGGCCTGCTGATGCCTGTGGGCGGGACTCCCCAGGGCCGTGCGTCTGGGGTGGGAAGTAAACCGGGTTCTGTCCTCAGGCGGGAGGCGGAGCGCATTCCAGCTGGCGGGTTGTGCTGGCAGGAGGACGGTCTGGCACTGGCACGTGGGGCCTGGCCCCACACCTGGCAGGCTGTAGGCCTCTCTGGTTCTAGGAAGTCCAGAGGAAGTGCGGCCCGGGGAGAGTGTCAGGGACTGTGTGGAAGGTCTGCTGGGAGACTGACGAAGGCGGGGCAAGGAAGCCCATGGCCAGTGCCCTCCTGGAGGAGCTGCGGGCCCACCTCGGCAGCACTGCAAGCTCAAGCTCGGCCTGCTCCCCCATGCCCCGCCCCCCTCACTCTGAAGCATCTGGCCTGAGGACTTGGAGCATTCGCGCCCCTCCCAGCCACCCGCCTTGCCTCCAGCATCAGCTCCACTGTCCAGAGCTCCGTCCCTCCATGTCCTCATGGCACTGCGCACCCACGTGTCTGCACAAGGACACTGCACCGAAGACGGCAGGTGACAACCTGGGGTGACCTAGCCCCCGAATGGTCACCAGGACCAGCCCCCGCAGCTGCTGAGAAATGCTACCGCATTTTGTTTCAGCAATTAGCTCTACCCTGAGCACACGCCACGTGGGACAATGGCTGCTGCCCCTTCTCTCCGCGACCGCCCTGCACAGACGAGTCTGAGGACGTGTGTCCTTCTGGCCGCAGCCCAAGTCACGAGTGTTGCCACCTTCTCCCCCAGGTCGGCCGTCGGGAGGTTTGCTCTCAAGTGTTAAGAGGTGGTGTGATGAAATTCTTTTCTTAATGTATTTATTTTTAGTTTGCTATCGGGCGTGTGCACTTGCCAGAGAGAAGGAAAGTGAGAACTCGGCCCCGGGGATGCCCCGTCGCAGACCCTCCTCCTCCGTCCTCCTCTCGGGATCGTGGACGGACATGCGCATGTGCCAGCACATTTTTCAAGCCACTGATCTGGGACTGGAACTGCGCCGTCGTCCACGTGGGACCCAGCCGCCTTACTGACCATGCCCCTGGCTGGCCCCGCAACCCTCTTCACAGCCCCCTCTGCCATATTCCATGACGGGAACGAGTACTGGCATCTCTCCCCGTTCCCCTGTTACGAGGGGATCCCACAGGAGGCACGGCTGCCCTTCACTGTGCCCTGCTGTCGACCCGCCCGCTGGAGGAGAGTCCAGACGCCCAGGGAGGGCCAGAGCACCCGAGCGGAGCCAGCCCACGTTTGCTTTGCTGCCTGCTGGAGCCGGGTGCCTGGCCGTCCTGGCCTGGGACAGTTGAGAGGAGATGGTGAGAGCCTCGGGGACTCTTCCCCACAGACGAAATGGTGAGGAGCAAGTTAAACTCCTCCAGGAATCACGCGGACCTGCCCCGGCCTACCTGTGTTCAGGGTGAGCTCCGCTGCTGGGCCTCTTCGGACATCTAAAAGGCGGGCACTGCCAGGCTGACTAGGGTCTGAGAAGGGGGCATTTCAGGCAGGCCCAAGGTGTGGCGGCATGGCAGGGCCGTGGGGTGGGAGCAGACTCCTGGTAGGCCAACCGGAGTCTCCGTAGTCTGCTCTGCTCTCGACATTCTAAACATCTGACACAAAATGGGACGTTCCCCTTCTGGGGTTTGAACAGGCAGAGGGGGCTGGTGAGCCACGCAGCTCTGGGGCTGTTCAGGAGGAGGGAAAGTAACTACCGGGCAGCTCAGAGGAGCAGGGCTGCCACTACCTCTGGAGCCAAGGGACAGAGCAGGGGGACACAGCCATTGCACTCAAGCCGACACCTGATGGGACTGGCCGTGTGGGACTTTGAGCTGGCCCGGGACCCGTGACCCCTTTCTTCCTCCCAAGCTCTCATTTGGGAACAGGGATGTCTCTCCTACCTCTGTCCCTCCATTGCATTTTAGAAGATTTCAGAAGGTAACTTATTTTCCACAGACAGCAGGCAGGACACTGTGTGAGGACAGCCACGCAGCGAGAGGGACAAGAGATGATGGCGTCTACAGTGGAGGGACAGACATGTGTCCACACCTCCGGGAGCTGGAGGGAGGTCCAGAGCAGGGTCTCCTCCGTGACCCTCACCGGGAAGCAGCCCCCTGGACCTCGACCCCCACTCTGGCTTCTGAACTGCAAGTGGGGGCTTTCTGTGGTCTCGGGCCTCCAGGAGGGATGCCTCATCACTGGCCGGGGAAGCAGCACGCTGCACTATCGCGTGGGCAGTGGGCCACATCGTGGGCAGAGATCATTGGTCGACGTGTCACTGGACTCCCTTCACGGGCACAGCCACGTCGCCCATCTCTGCTGCCCAGAGCGCCCTGGGCCATTGGTTGTGTTGAATGCGTCCTCGGTGTTGGCCCGTGTCAGCACCGTCATACTCGCACACCTTCCTAGAGTGGGCCCCAACCCAGGCTGCGTCACCCGCAGGCAGTCCAGGGCCTTCAGAGCAACCCTACGGCTACAGACCTCCTGCTGTCTGAGGCCTCCCGCACCTGGAATCCTTGCCGGGGTTTGGAACCCTGCCTCGCTATGGAAGATGCAGGCGCTGACACGCTTCCCCAGCCATCGCCAATGGGTGTGCATCGGGTGGCTGGGAGATGGCATGGATGGCAAGGCACCTTCCTTCAGGCAGGGCTGGGGGGCTGGGGCACGGTCAGCCGGTGGCCTGGCCTGTGTGTGTGGCTCCGATGAGGCTGGTGGCAGGGCCTCCCCGTCAGACCCAAAGTGTCCTCAGAGCCTCATTCCTGCCCAGTAACCCTAGCGCTACTCCCCACCCATGCTGCCTCCGGCCCTCCGACACAGTACCACTTGGCTGCCTCAGTGAACTGCAGCTGTTCTGTCGCCAACAAATAAGGGCTTAAGTGGTGCCCCCCATGCACCCACACACTCGTTTGACATGAGCACAGGCAGAATCTGAAGACTTGTGTGCAGCCCCCCCCCCCCCCCCCCCCCCCAAACACCAGCCCCCACCCTGGGCCC